TGACTGTTCGAAGTTACAATGGCACTGAAAAAAGTGCCCCCCCAAGCCACAGCCGAGCAAGACACCTGCCTGCCCGCCTGGTGGCGCTCTTCCTCCTGTCCGAGGTTTTCATTGTTGTGAGCATTTCTGTTGAGGATTGGCAGTGGGAGTGCGGTGGGGGGTGTTTGGTTTTTATTCCCCCCATCTGCTGGGTGGTTGCAGAGGTTTTGGTCACTTCACATGACCCTGGGACACTGTGACCATCATAAATATGAATCAGTTGCCAAGCATCACAAGACTCTGGAGATGCTGCAACATTCCAGCTGATTGGCGCTTCTTCTGGGCTCAGCAGAAGCACCAGGATCAGTGCTGAGCTCCAGCTGGAGCCTAGTGCTGATCCTGGTGCTTCCGCTGAGCCCTGACAGCCCTGCAGCTCCAACCATCTCTCGCTCAGGCTTATGCGGTGCTGCCACCGGTTCAGTTCATTCCCCTCCCCCACTACTTTTCTAGGATGGTTGCATACCACCTGCCAGGTGCCAATGTACCACAGATGGTACCCGTACCACTGGTTGAAAAGCCCTGTTCTAGTACACCACGAAAACTCCACTGTGGGGGAGGGGATACAAGAGCAATAACCAAAGTTGCTATATTGAATCACTATATTACTATGAAACCACCAATACATTCATCTTAATGACAAATTTTGCTTGTTGGTTTATTTATTTATTCAGTTTGGAAGCTGCCTGGCTCTGTAGCAAATCTGAGCAGTTTATAGGTAACAAATTAAAACAAAACAAAACATATTAAGAAGAAAAAGAAGACAGATGATCAGAAATCCTAAACCAAAAAGCCAATTGTCCAATAACAAACCAAAGGGACTCAACCCCCATACTAGCTCAGGGCCTGAGAAAACAGCCATGTTTTAAACAATATACAAAAGGTGAGAAAGGTGAAAGCAGTACAGATCTCCAGGTAGACATGAATTTAAGCATGGCTCTTACATTTTGTAACATGCTACTGCCTAATTAAGAGATATGGAGCATGCCCCCTTGAGTTGATAAGACCAGGCAGGCGGAAATATATGGAGAAATATAATGAGGCCCTATGCCATGCACATTTTAGGTGATAACCAGCACTTGGAACTTCACCCAGAACCCAAATGGCAACCAGTGCACCTGGAAAAACAGTGAGGAAACACGCTCAAACCACAACATACCCATCACTGCCTGTGCTGCTGCATTCAAGATAGCTGTAGTTTGCTAATGGTTTTCAAGAGCAACCCCGCTTAAAGAATGGATCTATCCATCAGATTTCCATAATCCAATTCACAGTAACCAATACATGAGTGATTCTCAAAAGATCTTCCCAGTCCAGTCACTTGTGTAAAGGCCCACATGGCCACAATTGCCGTTTGTTCTTCAAATATTAGCTGGGATTCCAAGAAAACCTCTAACTGTACACCAGCCTTGCATAGGAAACTACAACCCCCATAAACACTAAACTAAAGATAGAAGGACCCGAGAACCAGAGGGGGTGAAACAAAGAAAACAATTTTTGATGCAGGTTTTGTATTATTGGTAGCTCTAGGTCATGGGTAGGCAACCTTGGCTAGCATGGCTGGCTCAGGAATTCTGGGAGTTGAAGTCCACAAGTCATAAAAGAGCCAAGGATGCCTACCCCTGCTCTAGATAAAGCTAGACATACCAAGTGCTTATTTCAGTAAAGAACAGATTTCTATCTTTTTGCTACTTTACTTACTGAATCTTGCTACACCATAAGAGCCATGGTGGTGCAGTGGTTAGAATGCTGTATTTGCAGGCTAATTCTGCTGACTGCCAGGGGTCCTCACCGGCTCAAGGTTGACTCAGCATTCCATCCTTCCAAGGTCGGTAAAATGAGGACCCAGATTGTTGGGGGCAATATGCTGACTCTGTAAATGGCTTAGAGAGGGCTGTAAAGCACTGTGAAGTGGCATATAAGTCTAACTGCTATTGCTTTTACATCATGGATCTAGCCATCAGATTGACTTGTTCTGTAATATTAATCAAATATAGTGCTATTTGACAGAGCTATTGTGAGTCAGAAAATTAAGGGTCTACAATTTTTTCCAACTATGCCATCCAAATAATCAGTTTAATTATAAAAGATGACAGTGAATAAGTATAGTTTCAAAGTGTATTTATATTTATGCAAAAAAATTTTCTATGCAAAAGATTTTGCAGAATTTCAGCATTTAACATTGAGTTGGCCACTGTCTACTGTTTGACTTTTTTGCTGTTTTTGAAAAAAACAACAATACAAGCTTGTTACATTCTTTTACACAACATAAAAGGGATATTCTAAAAAAATGTTGTTTTTGAGTTGTGTGTTCTCATCAGGTACTTCACTGAGAAAACAGAAAGTAAATGAGATTCTATCCAGATTAGCGTTCTTAATGGCATGTGAAAGCAAGTAAACAAGTAATTCCATTTCAATAAAGCATACCTCTGCAATGCAGCAGCAAAGAGAAAACAAAAAGATATCCAATCTGATTTGATTGGTGCGCTTATGGATTCAGAGGCCTTAATCTTCAAAAGCCAAGAATACAGACAGGTGCATTTTGATATTTCTTTAATGGGTAACTGTATGAATTTTTTCAAAGCGGATGGGAAGTCACCCCCTTCTCTCAGGCAAATACAGTGAAGATATTCTTCAAGTTCTTATTGATTCTTATTAGTTCAGTTTTTAATACAGAATGTCTATGAAGTTCATACTAATCATGAATTAAGTTTTATTTCTAATTTCCTTCTCAAAGAAACCAATGATTCTCTCACCATTCAGATTAGCAAAAGCTAGATGGATCAACATTCAATTTTTATTCAACTTTTATGATGAAACAAATACTTCCAATTGAGCTGATTAGGTCTATTGATTAAAATACTGGACCAGAAGCATGTAAGCGTGCTTTCTAGTCCTATTTTAGCCATGGAAGTTAACTGGACTAATCACTCCTCTTAGCCTTAGGAAGAAGGCAAATCATTTCTAAAAATATTGCCTAGAAATCTACAAGGACATTTCCATGTTCTTGCCAGGTGTCCTGCCTAGTTCAAAAACAAAACTAAACAATTCAAAACATAATATGTACTGGTGCAGAATAAGTTGTATGGCATATTTATCAGGATAAAAATTTGGGGGGGGGTTATTTCAAATTAGCTGATAAGAATAGAAAAGAAGGACTGATCCCAAAATGGAAAAGACTAGATAGTCCAGCTGAAAGAGGATGCCTTGAAAATGAGCTGCTATTTGGAAAGAACTGCTTTACTACTAAATTTAATCTTTTTTATAATATCTCTTTTCTTAATTTTGCCACCCACTCTATTTTGGTCCTCCCTCCTTTCTTTGTTGGTATTTCTAGTAGAAAGAGGAAAGCTCTGTGGATGCTTATGTGTGCATACTTGTTTCTTTGTAGGAAGAGTAGTATGAGCAAGAGAGACTGGTGGTATATAGAGATATAGGATAATGTGCCAGTATGTTGCATGTATTTCCAAGTTAATGAGATATAGACAATAGTCTATAGTCTAGCAAGTTTGCTAGAGCCTAGCATGACAGAACAGCACAAGCATGCTTGGAATAAAACTGGGTTTTGCCAGATTAACCTGTTCCATACTATGAAGTTTTATTTTGTATTGGTGTTTCACTGCTATAAAGATGAAATGTTCTCTCGTTGCAGCTATGTTGAAAACTGGAGCTGGTCCAGAAATCAAAAGCAAGATTTTTGGAGGTTGCTTGCAGCCAGGAGTACAATACACTAGTACTGCAAGACCAGTACTGCTTGCCAATTTGTGTATATGGTTAGTTCTGGGTGGAGAGCCAGAACTAACCATATACCATTGTCTATATCGCAACAATAGCAGAGGCATAATCAATAAGGATACAGAAAAGGTCTTCTCAGCACCTTAATCTAGCCTGTAGAATTAGTAGATGTACTTTCTGTCAATGAACATATATCAGGAAGCAAGGGAGATAAGACTGTCAACAATTAGAGTCCATTATTGTTAGTATTGGTGAATGTTTTCTGCAATATATAGCAGGCAGTTCATTTTGCATCTGGAGACCATGCTTTTAATAACCATTTTTTTACTGAAATTTGCAATGATGCTGTCTGCCTCTTCACTTTTGTAAAAGAGTGCTTTTAAAAAGTTTATAGAGGTGAAGATAATTCACCCATTTTTTTTCAACTGAAGAACATAAAATTGAACTGTTAAATTTCAATGGTCCAATCTTGCAGAACTCTATAGGTCAGACATGTCAAACACAAGGCCCGGGGGCTGGATGCGGCCCGCGAAGTGGTTTCATGTGGCCCACGAAGCCCTCCTGGAAACAGTGAGGGAACAGCCCCCTCTGCCTTGGCCCTGGCCCAGGCCAGCTGGGAGCCAATGTACAATTTTGTGGTGACCATCTATGCTAAAACACATTCAGTCTTAGCTCCATAACCCCCCCCCCCGCATGGCCTGAGAGGATTCTCCAGTGGACCATGCCTTGGCACTTGCCCTGGTCCCACCTCCTTCTGCCAGAGACCCTCAGATCTATCCCACTCTTGCCCAGGCCCCCACAGGCACCCTTGACGCGAATGATGTAGAGCTGACCACACCCACCCAGTAGGCCACACCCACTCTATCTACACCCACCTAGTAGGCCGCACCCACCCTGGCCACATCCACCTGGCCCCCTGAGGGCAACCGCAATGCTGATGCGGCCCTCAATGAAATTGAGTTTGACACCCCTGCTATAGGTTATAAACAAAAAGGGGAAAGAACTATATGTAGCTCACTGGCTATAGATTACACAAAATAAAAAACTTAGCTACCCTTTCACTTCTCCAAGTATGGTTGATACCAAGTGATGATCTTAATGTATAGAAGAAAAGGTTTCAGGTATGTTAACAGTGGTCCAAACTGCATGTTAATTATACATGTCCCATATTTATAATAAAACTGTATAGATCAATGTTTCTCAACCTTGGAAACTTCTAAGACGGGTGGATTGCAATTCCTACAATTCTCTTGCCAGCACTGATATAGATAAAACATGTATATTTACCTTAATTCCAGGTAACCCAGGAAGTCCAGGAAGTCCAGGTTCACCCTACCAAATTAAATTATATTGTATTATAATAGAATATTACAATATTTTAATAGTAGGAAAATATTTCACAAATCAAAATATGTTCAGTATGTTGCCGCTACTTCTTACTTTATATCTGCTACTTAAAATACCTTCCCATTTAATACAGTGGGACAAAGTTTCAGTTTATTGGAAAGGACAGTATCATTTTTTATATACTACATGTCTGACAAATCAGATTTCAAATACATCTAGGAAACCAAAATTATTTATTTGAACACATTACCTTTTGTCCTGGTCTACCCGATTGTCCAGGTTCCCCCTAAACAAAGAAACAAATTATAAAGCAGGAGATTAAAATTAAAGGATGGCATTAACTTCAAGAAAGAAAGAAAATACAGAAAATTTAATTTTGGCATACATGTGAAAAAGTTCTTGTTACTCATATTACCTTAATTCCCGCAGCAGAAGATCCAGGATCACCCTACATAATAATAATAATGATAGTAATTAATGGAGGCAGAGGTTTACTTCAAGTAAAAAAAAAATACTGAAGAAGAAAAGCATACATTGGCTGGTTACATAAAAGGCAGCCAAGAACAAGCATTGATGGATATTAAAAACTGAGACTTACTGAATGTTCAAGAAACAAAGCATGAATATTGAACAAATGAAATAAAAAGCAGGACAGAATGCTGGCAAGGAAAAGTATTACATGGTCAATTTTTATAAAAGATTGAGGGAAAGTGGATACAGATAAAACCTGGCCATGACTTGAACACTGGAAACCGGATGGCTTGATTTTGGCTGCTCAGGTTCAAGCTAATGCAATCAAGACCAGATCTGAAAAATCATCCAATGATTCAAAGTGCAAATTGTGCAAAGCAGTAGGAACAGTAGATCATATACCCAATTTGTGTAAAAAAAGATTACACAAACTGACTATGAACAGCAACATAACACAGTCACCAAAATAACATTTGTAAAAATTAAAATGTGCCATTAATAAAAAAAATTAGTGGGAACATACTGTATAGAAAAAGTAATCCAAAATAAGAATGTTAAAATATTGTGGGATTTCCAAATACAAATACAAACTGGTAAAATATTAGTCCATAAGACACCAAGAAAGCACTTTAAATTGGCTTATTATTTTATAAATGTTTGTGGGTCAAGGAGGAATAGAGACTTTGACTTTAACTGTTCTAGTTGAGGAAGAACAGCTTGCTGAATCATCTACCATTTGCAAAGCTCTACCAGCCCTCAGGGTGGAATATTGTATGTCCCGTGCAGGAATGTGAGAATTGGCAATGTATTCCTACTAAGTTTCACCTTTGAATCTCCTGTGTATTTGGTTAAAACTGATTATTTCAAGTGTGGGAAGGAAAGCTCTATAAATGCAAGCCAAAGTTACATACAGTCGAATTAGAATTCATGAGTAATATGTGGTGTTTGTCCACATGTATGTCTTCTGAAACAGAACAAGAAAACCAGGAAAGCCAAAGCAGAAAATTCTGGATTCAACAGTTACACAAAACAGGCTTCAGCCAATCTATATGAACTAAGGGATTTGTTCCTTCAATTTTTTATACTGTTGACTGAAGGAGAAAGGAAAAAGAAATGTGTTAAATGTCTTGTGTTCAAACTGTTTTGAGCTCATGATGACCCATTTCAGTTTGAAACAGTTGCCTGAAGCTCAGAGCAGACTTACCAATTTTACAAGAAATATTTAAATATCATAACAAGAAATACAAAGAAATCTGGGGAGGAGATTTCACAAGCCAGGAGATGTGACGGTAATTACTGACATTTTGCAGAAGAAATATTATAATAAAAAATAAAAGCCTCTCACAGTAGGAATCGGGTTTTGTGTAATAAAGAGTGAAAATAAAGTTCACTCTGAAAAAAATCCTAATAGATTGTCCCTTTTCAGCAATATTATAATGAAGTTTATATGGATGACATCAGTCTAATTAGTTATCACAAATAATACGATGATACTAAGGTTATAGTTGCTAAAAACCAAACCAAATGATTCATATTGATAAAACAAATTCTTTTGACTATGTCTTGCAAAAATTATAAAAATAAACATGTATGCATATATACTGGAACTACAAATTATAATTTTGAATATATCAGTTTATTAAATTTTATCATTAAAATTATAATTATTTTTTTAAAAAATGTATCTCTGTTGTTTTTAACCTGAATTTAAATGTACTTTGTGACCTTCTCTATAAATTGTACCTTTTCTCCAGAGTGACCTTTGGGTCCACTTTCTCCAGCATCACCCTAAATATCAGAATAAGTTCTTTTAAATTTTTTCTTTTACCAGTTGCTTTCTATTAAAAGCATCCTAAATTTATTTCTATTTACAGTTTTGAAGAAAAGTATAAAATTAGACCAAGGAAATGAACAAAAAGAGTGACAGAGTAATGGAAGAAAGAAGTGATATATTAGAAAAATCAAGCAATATTTCAGTCTTAGTCTGTACTGGCTCTGGCCTGTCTTCCTGTCACATCAAACTTGGTTTTTTGCTTAAGATTTTTTTACAATCATATTTATTGAAATTTAAAATTACAAAGATAAAAAAGTAATACAAACCAAGATTAATTTAAGCAAGAAAAAAATAGAAAATTAAAAAGGGGAAAGAATGGGAAGGGAAAGGGTGATGAAATGAATGAATGAATGTTCTCTAATATTCCAAGAAAACTCTTTTCATCCCGTATCTCCTCATTTTTCTATTGACAAATAATAAAACCTCACTTTTTATCAGAAAAAAATCTAATAACATTGGTTAGCTATTTTCAACATTGTTTTTCCTTTACAGAGTTTCATAAATCCCTCAAAATGTAGACATCTGAGCTGGCAACTTCCTGAAACTTTAGGCCTCAATAGCATCAGCTATACAATAACAGTTAAATGGTAAGCTTCAACTGTTTTTTTTTTTGTTGCCTTTTTATTTCCCTTTTTTGTTCCCTTTTCTTCCCATGCTTTGTTTCAACTCTTCCAGTTACAATGTGACTTACAACTTTTCAAAATGAAAATTCTGATTTTTCATAGTGTTTACAGCACCTTATGAATATATAACTTTGACCTGGGTGCTGTTTTCCTAAGTTCTTGCATAAAATGGAATGTATAAAAAGTTGTTGAACACTTCACAATTCAGTTTTGAAATTATTTGTTTGTAGGACTAAATAAGCATATATGTATTACCTTTTCTCCCCGTTGTCCAGGATCACCCTAATTGAAACAGAAGGCAGAAATAATGCATTTATTGTTCTCAAAGGACATTCATGCAGATCTATCAGACCTTTATGTATGACCATTACATCTATTTAATAAATATAAATTTAAGGATAAAGATTGTAATTTTGACACTGATTCAAATAAAATATTTGGGCTACATTACTGTAATATATTTTTATGCAACTTTTTAGTTGGTTAAAATATTTTTTATTCATATGTAGCTTACTTAGTATTTTAAAACTTACAAAGCAAAGGACTTCTTGTGACTACGTAAAGCAAGGGTCCCCAACTCCAGGTCTCAGCCTGTTCAGAACTGGGCTGTGCAAGCGGCTGGCAAGCTTGTGCATGTGCACGAAGCTCCCCTTGTGCAAGCAGTGGCTGCTTACTCTCGCATACGAAGCTCCCCTCATCAAGTGCCAGCTGCTTGCTCACTCACATGAAGCTCCCTTTATGTGAGCTTCATGTGCCCTTCTGCCACTTGCAGGCAACAATTCCCTCTCCCCCCTCCCCACTGGGACACCAAGCCAGAAAGGTTGGGGATTGCTGACATAGAGGCTCTAGGCTGATTCCTTTTTTAATTCCGCCCCGTTGTTCTGCCACTCCTTCTCCTACAGGTTGAAAAACTATAATCTTAAATAATTAATGGCTTTGTTTTGACTTTTTAATATCTTGCAGATGTATTCTCATACTCCACCA